GCGGTGTACTCCAGGAGTACTTGAATAGAATCTATGGATACTTTGCAGATTGCACTGGCACATTGGCGGAGCAGCAGCAGCTTGCCTGCAATGAAGTGAGCATGCGTACATTCATTACTTTTATGAGCAACCAGCTTCCGTTTCAGGGCTGCAGCTGGACTGCAAAACAGCACTGCCGGCAGCTGAGACAATTGCAGGGACATGTCACTCATGTTTTCTATTTGTTGGAGTCATTCATCTTACAAGCTCTAGGTGGACGAAGCCCGCTCAGCACACAAAGTGTGCAGATCACAGCAGGCTGAGGCGAGGGGGCATCTTGAGAACCCTCAGGCATTCAGGGGGGGTCGTTTTGGATTTTTCCGCGTCCGGTGGATTTGTGATGATTCGGCTAGTTATCCTATGTTATCCTCCATTTTCAGCTGGTTCTGTGCCAACTGCAGGCGTATGAGGAGTGGGCCAGCTGCAAGAAACAGACTGCCTTAGAGGCCGTGTGCATCGGCCTTCCAGATTGAGAGATGACACAGACGAGCTTTGCTTAGGCGGCCGATTGTTCTGGCTGGCCTGCATTGAAGGCACGTGACAACGTGCGCGCCGTGTGGCAGTGGGTTGCGTGGCGGTTGCATGGCGCCTGTGGCGCTGGTGGTCTTGCCAGGCAACCAAAGTCCTGGATGCTGGCGCTGCATGCTTGCAAACCACTCCAGGGGACAGATGGGGATGACGTTAGGTTTGGGCTGAAGTGCAGCTGGGTGGATTCAAAGACTCCAGTGTTGGACTGCAATGCGGCCAGTTTATGAAGTGCATGAGTCATCAGAGAGGAACTGTATAGAACGTACCTAAAACATTTCATTGCAGAGCAGAGCCCATCAGGAGACTTATGAGCAGTTTTTGAACCGGATCAAGCCCAATTCCCAGCAGAGAGCAGGGTCAAAGTGCGAAGGCATGGGTTTTGAGGGCCCGCAGCGATGCACAGAAGCATTGGAAATGACCCAGGCTGTACTGGACGCAGGAACTGTCCAAGTACGAGGCTATGAAGGTTGGAAGCAAGAAGTGGTCCTATAAGCTACACTCAAGACTTCCACTCAAGCATCAACCATAGCCGAGAGATCCCATTTCAAGCGCCCTGGGAATGACAGCCGCGAGTGCAACGCAGGCCCTGTGCTCGAATTCAGCGGAGGACGACCGAAGCTCGTTGGTCATTCGCCGAAGCTTGTTCAGCTCCTCCGCTCGCTGTGACGGAGGACCCATGTGCGCCCGAGAAGGCCCAGTCGAAACCAGAATTGGAGTCAGAATTGGATCATGTCCAACAAGAATTCAACAAATGGGCGTGTGGCATTCCACAACAGGCCTTCAAGCCTTTATGTATATAACTATATACTGTACATATGAATAAGGAATCTTTGTTGACTTTGTTGTCAGGCATTGTATAGTGTTAAAGAGTTCTGTGGCAGTGGTGTCGGACTGCTGCCATTCGTTCATGCAGTCGTATATAGATGTTAGATTTGTATAGTAGGGCTAGAGATGCTCTTGTTTTGTCCAGGCTAAGCTGGATCGAAAAACTGCAGAATGCACTGTTGCCCAAAACAACTTCGAACGATCCTTCTGCGACCAAGCGAAGCAGGCCAGGCCAGTGAAATCACACCAACCGTATGAACTGCTGAGACAGTTGTTGTGCCATGACACAGTCTTGCCAAAATGAAGAATCGCCCGGGAAATAGAGCGTGGCATAACTACCAGGAGTGCTATCGTATTGCCGTGGCTGGCCTGTTTAGCATGACGGTGGACCACATGCATCGGCACAATGTGAGAAATCTGCCATGAAGGAATAGATGGTATTTCCACAACAGAAGACGAGGGATTGCTGCGGACATGCTTGGTCATTGCCAGGCCAATGAAACATACACGCAAGCTTCTACAGCTTCAATCAAGCTCTTGTCTTCGAAGATCTAAGCTCAGCGCTGGCTGGTGGAGCAGGGTGTTCAGATGTACCTACCTGACTGCCCCACATGCCTGTCCATAGAGACAAGCTTGTGGTGATGTAGTAGATCTGGACCTCATTTCACAACATCAGTTGGTCGTGTCTCAGGGTGTGTTGTTTCAGCACACTGAACTCTTAGACTGTGATTTGAAGTTTTGCAAATCGGCATGACCGCATGGCATTGATTGGATTCAATGGTTTGGCTGCTACTTGTAGGCTGCTAGGCGCATACTAGCTTTCACGAGACCTGGCCAAACACGCCTGAGGAGACTTGACCTTGGGGCATCTCATCGCATCGAGTGCCTCCTAAAGGCACGGAGTAGCACGGAGCGAAGTCGCATGGCGTGACGAAGTCAAAACGCAGACCTTGCGGTCTGTGTTGTTTTATCTCCAAGTCTGAGCACCATGGAGCTTGTGGAGTGGCAGGTCTTTCAGAATTCCCACAACGCACAGACAGCCTTGGAAGAATGCAAGGCCATGGACCACAGCCTTGATCTCAGAACCAGGAACGAGAAGAAACGTGGAACACGGCAGATCAGGATGACGAACATCATGAAGAAGGAAGAAGAACAAGAAGAAGAGAAGATGTTGTTGATGATGATGTCTAGTTGCTGTAGTGGGTGGTGTAGCAGGAAGGATGCCGTTCTTCTTAGCTGTTAGAACCTAGAGCTAATAATTTGCCGCAGTAGTGGAGGCATCTCGCTGAAAAGCAAGGTAGCACCTTAGTCCCTTGCAGGTGATGTGATGGCTAGGCTGCGGCTCGCGATCAAAGAGGTGCCTGCACCGCTCTAAACTGACTGTCATGGCTTCGCGTGGCTTCATACTTTTCCAATCTTTTCCAGGCTCCACCTCCAATGCTGCCGTGATGAGCTTATTTGTGCATGCTCGTCAGCTGTCGGCGGCTTCGCCATGCTTCGCGTCATCCGTTCCACTCTGAAGGCCTTTGCCATCAAGCCTTCCCGGGCAAAGTGGTTTCCAGGAGGACAGTTTTCGGAGCAAAGTGCGGCCAAGCTCCGTTAAGCGCACGAAAGCAGTAAACTGTCTTTTGATTATGCAAGTGGGCGTGTTGGAACCCATCAGGCGCGGCATGTCTTCTGAGATCTCAGAGTTTTGTAATTCCGTTCAGCCTGCCGCTGGTATACACACGAAGATAGGTTGAAACTCAGCTTCAGGAAGAATACAACAACATCAATTCAACTGAGATGATGGCCTGCCAGTTGCCTTTCGCGGTTCTCGTGCGGTGACCACGCGCACTTTAGCATGTGAGCATGATGTATTTCTTTGCTTACAAAGCGATCCACATGACTCAGGTTTTCTTGTGAGGCATGATTGCGAAGAGTTTATTTACACGTGCCACTGTCAGTCACCGCCGCTCAGTGGCAGAGACAAGGCATTCTCGGCAAAAGCCAAGGGCGCGATTTCCCAGTGGAGTGCATCGTCAACCTTTCGAGTGACTTACAGTCGATGACGGATCAGAGGTGGTGGCATTGATGGTGCCAATTGATCAAGATTCTTGTAGCTTCCCCTATCAGCCTCATGAACCAATGAGCAACAATGCGCCACTTCTGGGGGTACTGTGTATGTAGATCACGCACCTTTGAAGCTATATAAATAGCTCACCTGAGCAGTTGAAGGCATCCTCCCTTGTTGCTCATTTTTGCTTGTTCACTGCACCTGCAACCCCTGCCAGGTTGCACAAGGTCGCTGGAGTTGGACTTGAAGGGATCACTTGTGCATAAAAAGCGGCGAAGCGAAGCGGTCATAGATGCGGAGGAGGGTAATTCCATCCGCAGATGGCCAGATCTCCTGTTTGGAGGTTCAGCCTTAACTTAGCAGATCAGCACACCGTGCTGCATGGTGATCCAAGGCCAAAGTTGTTTTGGGCAAAGCTTGCCAGTGACCGCTAGTGGGAAATGACATGTTGTTTTTGCATGCTCATGACTATGGCTGCAGGACTGTCAAGTGGCCGATGCAAGCTCCATCACCATCGTCGCAAATATAGTTAATCTATGAACTTGGCCGGTCAACCGTTTAAATCTGTTCTTGTTTTGGGTGTGCATTCCTGAAACTCAATTGTTTCGTTGCTGCCCCGGAAGCATCACAATTATCATGACACCGATTGAGATCTTTAGGGCTGATTTCAATTCAAGGCCTTTGACCGCCAAGTCTTTTTATTCTTTCCACTCTGCCCCGTGAAGCGGGGCTGCCGTAGCTGGAGCCCTGTAAGCAGCTTGACACCAACCAGACGAACCCATTAGGTATTGGTTAGGGAGGCTGTGGAACTCCAAGTGCTGGGTCAACAAGTGCCATCAAGTGCATGCATTGGCGAACGCACCCTGTATACCATTCTGTGAGATGAGGTGCACCCAGAAGATTCCTGAAGTTGGCTGCAATCCTAGTCAGATAAGGTCCTTGTCGGTAGTCAGAGCATGGAGTCGTGGGTCAGCTGCATCCTGGATTCTGAGCACCGCGCAGTCTAAAGCACAGTGCAGGCGGTGATCCTGGTGAGATCAGGTGCTCCAAAGAGCTGGTGACGTAGACAGCTCCAGTGCCGTGCATTGGAGACCGGACTGTCCAAGGAAACTCCAACCTTTGGGCTTCTGCCATGTGGCTCCCATCACTTCTTGTAATATGCAATTATTTTTAAACGATTTATGGATGCTTGTTGACACGTGACTTGTTTCAATAGCTTCAGCAGAATGATTTCAATCCAGACGTGCTCAAATGGATTGGAGATCTCTTAGAACCTTCACTGCGAAAGACCGGCTAAAAATGGACTGCAACCAAACCCGCCACTTGGGCTGCAAAGCCAACTGCTGCGCAGGGGAATGGCAAGTCGGCGGAAGTAGTCTTTGGCAATAAGATTCAATACGGTGCATTCTTGCTTTGCATATGTTTGATTCTTTGTCCCTGAATGTGTAGTGCAAATAGTTGTGCAACCAAGTTGCAACCATTCGGCTGCGGCCTTTGGTCAGGGTGAATATTGCATCAGGCATGCCACGCGTTGAAGCCATGACCCTTTCAGGAGAAGCAATTGGTAGACAGCGCGCTAAACAAGCACAAGTTGAGTCGCCATCCGGGTGAGGAGGGACAGACTGAGCAAGGGATTTGCGACGATCGTGGATGTTTAGACTGACGGTAGGTCATTTGTGTGAGATTCAATGCTGAAATAAGCCGACGCCACTTGCTCTGTCCTCAGACCATGGTTGTGCTTGTGCTGACGTCTCTGTGAGATGTTTGCTTCATGGCACCCATTGCTTGCTTGTGCAGCTTTTGCATAGGCTCACAGCTCCCGGTGGCACGAGCCAGATCCTGCAATGTCCATTCTTCCACAGGCACTTCGTCCGCCCTTGCCATGGACACCTGCCTCGAGAGGACTTCTTCCTGAGAGGTCCTTCATGAGGCGGCCACAGCCAGCACCGAGGCGCACGCCAACTGCCCGAAGAGTGTGGGAGGATGCGGCATCATTTTGCAGTGACCCGCTTGTGTCCTGCATTGGATGGGCTGCATTTCTGTCTGGAATGACTATCCTGAGAGTTGCCACCGTGGATGATGACCAACACACTCCAAGAGCTTTTCTGAAGAAAAGGAACCAGCTAAAGAAGGCTGGCCCTCCAATTGTGTGCTTGGGTGACAGCATCACACGAGGGAATTTGTCTGCTGACTGGGTAAGCTCTTTAAGAAGGGAGTGGCAAGAGGGCTTGGTCCTGAATGCGGGAGTGAATATGCAATGCTCGCAAAACATTCAAATGCGAGTGGATGAGGTGATTGCTTGCAAACCATCACACGTGACGGTCCTGGTAGGCACCAATGACTTGAAAGCAGCACTCTCACCCGTTGAGGGTTTCATGTACCAGGTCTTTGGAGATTTGCCGGAGGTGCCCTCCCTGGAAACCTATGAGAAAACGCTCGTCGATATCAAGCAGCGCCTTCTTTCAGCAGGGGCCCGGGTCGCCCTCGTCTCGCCACCTGTCTTGGGGGAGGACATCCAGTCGGAAGCCAACAAGCGCGCAGCAGAATTCGCAGCTGTGGTGCGAAAGGTGGCGGAGTCGGAAGGCAACTGCACATACTTACCACTCTTTGAGATGACCTATGAAGCCTGTGAAGCCTTGCCAAGTGGACGGCCATATTCCGGACTGAACTTCTTTGCTTGGTGTTGCCTGCTTTGCTTCGACATGCACGTTTTACAGCGTGACCTAGCCGATATCCAGAAGGAACGCCAATTGGGAGTCACCGTCGATTTGGTGCACCTTGGGCCCAAAGCGGCCAAGGAACTGGCAGACATGGTTCATGACTTTGTTCGATCCTCACCTACCTGGGCCAATTCCCGCTTTGGTCAGCCCGGATTTGACATGATTGAAGCATGCTGAGGTCGAGGTGACCAGCCCTAGTGAGCATAGCGTTCAATTGCATTGCTGTGCTTTCCCCTGTCCCAATACATAGCCAAAACAGAAAAAGGTGATCATGAGATATGTATGTATATGACGACATGAAATATGTGCAGCATGGAAGGTGTCCTCTCAAATGGCAGCGACTAATCAGAGATGTATGAATGATTTCATATTGAAGTTGAACAACTGGCAAAGATGTTGGGACAAATGTAGCAGCTAGTCAGCTTGATATTTTCCTACTTGAGCAGGACTGGTGCTGGCGTCGTGATTATGTCACACAGTCTGACAGGATCAAGACCTCTTGAGGTTTTGATAGGATAGCCTTATGTTAAACCTGTTACTTATGCCACTCGCACGCACCAGCTCCGGCTCCTGCTCGAGGATGCTGACTGCCTCAGTCATGCAGAATGCAGATTGATGGGGCTGCAAGATTTTCTGTCCTCTAGCCTCGGATGACTCATCTACTTAAATATAACATCACCATCACCGATCACCCACGACAAAGGAAGGACATTGTGATGCATGAGTTTATCGTATTTTGAGGCTGTGAGTGAGGTGTTTCAAAAGGAGATTCGCATCTTCATGCCTCTTTTGGCGTCTCTTCAATGTATTTGAAGTTCTTTGTCTTGCACTCTTAGTGCCTGTTTATCTACAAGCGCGTCGCTGCGCGCACATTTTCGCAGCACTTTGCTGACCACTGGCCACAGAGCATCCTGTAAGATCCTATCAAGGATGGAGTGCCATGCAACATTGCTTGATTGGGAGCTCCTGGCCTAAAATTCAGCAGATGCTGCGCAGAAGCATACCCTGATGCCATTGCAAACATGAACTAAAAAAGCTTGATTCACGATTCACACATTGCCCATTTATAGTCTTGCTGGGAGTTCTGAGGTTGAGCCCTCATAGTCAAGATCAGTCAAACATCCCTCACCTGTTTGTAATCAAGCATTCTTTGAGGTCCTGCTTGCTGCCAGACCAGTGGGTGAATGATGAGGTGGCTGGATTGCTCGATTTTGCACCCGAACACTACGAAAGTGACACAAATGAACAATATAATAGCAATTGCTTTGACCAGATTGTTTTGCATGTGACGCCACCGCAGTATTTTGAATTGGGGGGAAGGGTGGCGTTAGATGAACGCGCCTTGCACGCGCCTTGAACGCCCAGCTTGGAGACACCTCTAAGGCGGCAGGCGGCTTTGTTTCATGGGCGCGTGACAGCCTTTAGTGTCATTGTCAAACATCCCTATCCCTTCGCTTTGATATCTCGGGCCGAGCCAAACATGTGGGCAATCGATAAGAAGCATGACCCAGTGAGCAGGTGTAGTGTAAGAGAGAGAGGGAGAGTCAGTCCTTCAATGTCCTTCACGTTGTGTGCTCGCTGATGGACGAGGTTCAAGGGCTAACGCCAGGGGTCCAACATGGACGCATTTAGCCAAGTGCCCTTGCCATCCGGCCCCAAGCCATCGTATAGCCGCAACTCCACCAGACCAACAAGTGCAGGCACTGCAAGAAGTGAGTCTCCACGCTCTCGGAACCAACGGCCTCTAAGTGCCAGATCTGCTGGCAGCGCGTGGGAAGCACGTGCCTCTGCAAGCCCCTCACCGGATTTCACAGATAGTTGGTCGGAATTGCCCAGCAGACCTGGAAGCCGACCCGGAAGTCGACCAACCAGTGCCACAACCGGGGGTATTTCCGGGGCGGTCACGAGGAGACCCTCTGCCGATGGACCGGGCGCCGTGCCCAATGACGCTTCCAGAGCACCTGAGGTTCATTCATTGGAGCAGCACATCATGGCTTCTCCAGACTTCGGGCGAAGGTCACTGGAAGAGGAGTTGAGGGAGCCGATCCTCACACCAATCCCCAATTCATTGGGAACCCCTTTGGAAAAGCAGGTTGCAACTGCCATTGGTCTGAGGGGAAAGGGTCGAAATGTTTTGAGACTTCCTCGCAGTGTGGTAAGCTGCAAGCACGGGTGCGACTGTTGCTGGCGCTGGCTCGCGCGTGCCGCTTTGGAGCAGATCTGGGGTGGCAGCTTAGCAAGCTTGAGCTTGGCGGACAGCGTCTTGAAGATCAAAGAGGAGAAGAAACAAAAAGGGGTGGCAAGACAGGATCATTAGAAGGTTAAAGTGTGGCACGTAGGAAGTCCACATGAACTTCATTGGACTTCATTGAACTTCTATTCTATCAGCCACTGAGCCTGTCATGCCGTGTTGCGTCATGTCCAACATGCATGTGCATTGCTGATTCTAGTGTGGCAGTCCAAGGAACATCATGGATCATCCATAGGAGAGCATGATCCCAAGATGCGACATGAAACCGTTGGTCCACCGGTCCACCCGTTCTAGGAGTTTGCCCAGATGCAAGACGCCCGCAGAGCTTTTGAGACGGAACAGTTTCGAGCCAAGGTTGGGTCGTGTAAGTTCTCCCAAAGAATCATCCGCCGATCATGTTTTCCGGAGGCCGCCGAAGAAGAAGTCGCGACACTGCAACACGAGCTCAAGAAGAACAAGGTGGACGGAAGAGAGTTCAGGCCCGGTTCCAGGCACTAAGTCACTAGGTCCATTGGGGATTCAACCGGGATGAACCGGGTAGAATGGGTCACCACTTGCGAAGCCAGGCAATTGAGCAGCGTTCCAAACCTCTATGAAAGAGCCACATGATCCATCCGATTGAACTGCCAGACTGTCACTGTCGTGTAAGCATGTGTAAGTCTGCATGGCGTACGGGTTGCGTAAGGTTTGGTGGAAGCACAGGTTAGGACACTCGATGCGTAAGACTCAAGAGGTCGGAATGTAAGATTATGCCAGAACTTTTGAGTCAGTTTAGTCAAACTGCTACTGTACTTGGTTTTTGTGGCTGAGACTGAGAAACACTACTAAGCAGAAAAGGGTTGGGGATTGAATCTCTCAAACGCACTCCCTGCACAAGTTCGCAAAGGCCATGTCCGCAGGGGTTGGGTGGCAAAAGACCACACGAATTCCGCGTCAGCCCCGCGTAAGCGGATTCGTAAAGTTTGCGTAGGCAAACTTCTCAGATGACCCAAAAGCTCTTGCTAAAGAAACCAAAGCAAGCAGCTGCATGGGAAAGGCACTTTTCAAGCACATAGCGCAGTTTCACCCTGGCTCCGCCTGCTTAGTCCCCGTGGCTGACAAAAAGAAGCAATATGAAGCAATGGTCTTTACTAAGTGAATCATATAAGAGCAAACTGTCAAAGTCAAAGTGTGCTTTAACTGGTCTGGACTGTCAAAACCATGAATCGTTTCAACGCGCAAGAACGCGTAAGCCCTAAGACAAAGAGAAAATCACTCGCCGCATAAGCGAACACATTGGTAGTGTAAGCAGTGCGGAAGCCGACGCGTAAGCAAACAAGGATTACAAGGCCAAGACCAAAGGTTTTTGACCATCGCTCAATTGCCCTATTGATGGTCAATTAATTGTGGGACTATGGTGTTGCGTGCTCCAGGTAGCTCAGTGTGTTCATGCTGTTTTGATTGGAGGAAGTTGGAGCAGTGCGCCAGGATTCTTGAACGAGAGCATGGCCGTCTTCAGAATGAAGTCGCCGACCTGCGAGCAGCTCGAGGTCAGATTCGCAGCGTGTTGGTTGGGATGGTTGAACAGATTTGAATGCCCCAACGGATTAGAATTGGCTCAATGTGGAGGGCATTTTGCTGTGGCAGGAAAGCTGGAGGCCGAGCTGGAAGTGCAAAAAAGACGTTCCGTTGAGCAAATGGAGGTAGCTCGAAGAAAGGCCTGGCATGAGATGAACGATGTCCACAAGTTGGAGGAAAGAGCTAAAACTTGCCGTTATATATGCTGTGATATAATGTATTATACATTATTATACATGTATATATATATATGTATTTGTTTGTTTATATGCAAATGTAATATACAATTTAATAACATGTTTTTCTACCTTGAACTTCTGTATACGCGTGTTTGATGGTCCCCAATCTCACTACAAGAGTATGCCAAAAGATGAAGATTCAATTCAATAGTCACTAGTCACTAGTCGTTTGCACAAAAATTCTCACAGTTTGGCACATTTGTTGAAAGTTTGCATTCCGCACTTTGCTGCATCCCCGTTGTGCCCAGCGGTCAGGCAGAAGGTGAGGTGGAAGCTCTCCAAGCTCGTGCCCAAAAAGCCGAAATCAGCACCATCCGATTGGAGGTCGTGGTATGTTATTTTGTGAAGAGTTCTGGAAGATGATAAGGATGAGAAGGGTTCAATTTTGTTGCAGACCCGTTTGGCATCATTTGGGCGGTTCCACATCAGGCGACTGAACATGAACTTCGCGAGAGGATTGCTGACCTCCAAGACCAATTGAGGACGTCATGAGCCGGGTAGGAGCAATTTTGTGTCTCATTCAACGGCAAAGAAAGAGCGCATTGCCACAGTCAACAGCCTCGCATGTCCTTTAATGTCCTTCATAATTATTTTGATCTTGAGCTTGTCACCAGGTTGAGAGTATAGAAACATCAAGCGCACATTTGACGCAATTGAACTGCACTCGCATAGGCCAACAGGCTGAGTTTCATGTCCTTGTTGCCTGAGGGAAGAAAAGTTACAAAGGCAAGAGGATGCCAAAAAGTTGAAGGTCACGCAGCGAGGTGGAAAGAAGACGGGCACCATGGCAGCACGATCAAGCGTCACAACATACCATGCCTGGATACAACAATACTGCAGATCAAGTTTCAATCCACACCAAACTGCTGCAATGGCTGAATGTATCTGAATGTACTCCCTCGATAGGCTTGGCCGAGGGAAAGGAAAGTAAGGGCCGATTTCTTCGGGCAAGCCTGGCCTCGCGTGTCACCTTTAAGGCGGCAAGGCAAGAGCAAAGAAAGCCGGGCGATCGCGCTCCAAGTCTCGCAGCAAAAGCAAGACCAGAGGCCGAAAAGCCTCGAAATGACGCTTTCAGCAGGTGTGTAAGAATGTAGCTGATGCCAAAGAACACATCCCATACCCGAAGAGTGTCCAAAGGACATTTGAATCGGGAGTCTTGAACCTGCTTGATGTGCTTGCATGACTTTCTGTGATTCTTGTATGCTTGTCGAAAATTGCACAGAGGGTGGGCAATCTGCAAACCACACATCAAAAACATTCCAACACAATACCAATTAAGCATCCACATAGCAGGTGCAGGGACACTTTGTCCATGTCTCATGGTAGTCGCCAAGAGGTTTCGGAAGCTTGCACGTGGCAGCAAAATCAGGCCCATGTGCTGGTGGCTTAAAACGAAACGTGCATCACAAGTGGGCTGCTCTTCCACACCCAGGACAAGGCAGAAGCGCCGGACAATTCAGTTTATATATGTCCATTTCTCACCATTGGATACCATTGGGATTTCTTGAAGTGTTGGCAGGCCACCCACCCAATCAATAAAGCCCTCGCATGCCACTTGTGATGTATGTTTTGCTTGAATTTCTGTAGTTTCCAGGGACCACGGCCCTTTTGTAGCGGTCTCTTTGCTGGGCACCCGCCTTGAAACGTTCCCGAAACAGGAGTGGGACAACCCTGGCGATGTTTTCCAGCAGAAGCTCCTCTGAAATCCTACCGGGAAGGAAGCATGAAAAAGCGTCGAGCCGGCGCGCACTTTTGATGCGTGTGCACAAGCAAGCTTTGAGGCAAGGCAGGATACTGTAAGTAACTACTGTTACAATGAGATAAGTGGGAAAAGTTGCATGGCTCTGGCGTGCAATAGTGACCGTTTGACGACGCATTTGTTGTTGGCGAAGGCGACATGTGAAGACAAGATGATGTGGATCAATCAAGTCACGGACCACAGGACAGCGGGTGTAGTCTGGGTTTGTCCAGAAATACAGGGATCTCTGAATCTCTCAACCGTTCTCAACCACTGGGTGTTCATTTACGATCATTTCCTTTTGCCTTGATCGTCCAAGTTTGAGACTCTTTCATGGCTGCCAGCCATGGCAGGAACAAGCTGCCGTGACCACTTTCGCGCACGGAATCGTTGAGTGGATCCAAAGCGTCACAACAACTAGCAACCACACGTGAGGCTAAAACGACTGGTGCTTGTTGCACAGTTGAGAAGACCTGGCGGTGGGCGCCCACCTGCAGAAGTGCAGTGAATACATAGCCTTGATCTAAAACAGCCGCAAAAAGGTGCCTTGGCAGTCTGGTTCAGTCTTGAAATATGAGGAAGTACGGTACGTTCCTTTGATAGTCACATGGCTGGGGGATGACACGTGAACATTATTGCTCAAACTGTGTGGCAATGTCTATTGTGTGCAGATCATGAACTGCTACCTGCGATTGCTGCAGGACCTCCCAATAAGTGTTTGACACACTTTCTTGACTGACTTGACATTGGCATGTGCTGCTTTTGCATGCTTTTGCAAATCGTGCATTTTCACAGGTTGGTGTGGAGTGCTTGTGTCCCCCCCGATGTAGGGCGGGTGATAGTAAGAACTCTACTTACACACTGGAGTTCATCTTGAGTTTGGGACCAGGGGGCCGAGGAGCCATTCCAAGCCATCCGGGCACTTTCCGCAGGAGCAGAGCAAGGGGCAACTTTGGTGTCCCAGCAGCTTCTTCTGGCCGAAATTAGAGGCATGAATCAACAATCCACCGCGTAGGGCGTAGTTCAACCGCCCCGTAGGCAGGTGAGAGCTCACATGCCTTGTATCGTTTACGGGCTTGAGGCAGGAGGGCATGCTGCTGTGCACCGCTGGGCGAGGCGAATGGTTGTATCTTGAACATAGCTGAAAAGCTGTAACAGATTTAAGCGAGTGTTTCAGGGGATCAATCCATCCCAGCATGGATTTTGCAAAGGCGAGCTGCTGTTGATGTGGCTGGTTGCAATGCCATCATTGTTCCGCTGCATTTGGAAGGCCGATGCACGGTTGATGCATGAGACTTCGCTTTGGGACATTTCGACCTACCGGCGACTCGTTTGATGTGGACTCCAGGTTGCCATTGGTCGTGCGGAGTCCTACTGGCCAGCCACTAATCGTGGTGACGCACCACCGATAGCTTGGCTGAGGCTCGGAGTCTTAGAGATGCTGCAGTTGGGCACTCAGGGCGGATATATATATGTCGGCATTGGCATTCGTACTTGGTGAAGCATTGGTGAGGTTGGCCTAGGTCTGCATTTCGGCATTGGCTTACAGAGAGGAGTTTGTGGTGAGGCGTAAAATCCTCTATATGGACTCGTTGGGCTTGCCAGCCCCGCAGCAACTGCAGCCGAGGTGAGAGATGGTGTTGAGATGCGTTTGCATTTGTATCACGTGCTTGTGCGTGTATGTCCACACTGGTTTACGCTCAACTATTTGCCGGACCAGGCTAGATTTCTAGCACCTTTATGGATTGTTTATATAAATATTTTTGTTTCGCGCAGGTGATGTAGGCGCAAAATCCCCCATTGACTTCAACAACCTGTGGTAGTTCAATCGTATTATACTTCATTTAGTTTACATGTTACATATGTTCAAAGTTTAAAGATTGGTGGCCTGTTTGCTTTGGTGGCATGTTCCACGGCATTTGGCGGGCATGTCAGCTTGCCTGTTTTGGTTGGAAGCCTTTCCGAAGTCCCAGGCTCCTGTCAGCGGAGCCCATCTAGAAGAAAGACTTAACAAAATATATCAACATATATATAATTGTTGCAACCGGCCACGGTGCATCCAATGTGCAATTTCATGTGAGAGCAGTGGTTGCTTGCCGGTGTTTTGTCACTGGAGCAGTTTTAGGGCTTGCCTGTGAGATGCAGGCTGATCGAGTATGTTGCAAAGGAAGTGCCATCCCTTTCAGGCAACGCTGACACCGTACATTTCACGGTAAACGTAGAAAGACAGTGACCAACTTGAGAGGCTTCGATTGGCCGCTTTCGATGATCAACAAGACTCCGCAACTGGCTTAATTTTGGAGTGGAACTGACTGCTGTTCCGCGGTTGTTGCATGCCCATACACTGGCAGCTGGCCATTTGACACCTACAACGGCCAGGACGCAGCAGAATACTTCCGACTGTGGCATTTTCGTCCTTGCGTATGCAGAGCGTATAGCTATGGGCCTGCCAGTCCGTCCGAATCTAAGTGTATCAGATTTGGTCGGACGGGTGTCCAAAGGGTCCTTCACCTCCCCAACTCTTGGAATCCACAGGAAGTGTGGATGGCTCACCGAGCGGCATTAACCACAAGGTGCTGAAATGATTTTCTCCCAGAACTTTGACGTAACTTTTCCTTAGACAAGCTGATAAAACCTGCCAGCGCCGATCCATCGCGCTGGCGATCATCGAAGGAAAGCTGCCGAGCTCAGAAGAGAAATCGCTCTCATTGGCTTTGCTGAAGTTGCAGAGTTTTGCATTGTAATTGTTACTAGTAGTAATGCCCTTGTTACTAGTAGCTTCTTGCTACTAGTAGTAAAAGTTCGATGCCACGGCATGGCTGATCTCCTCAAAGCCGGACGCTTGCCACGCAGCAGAGGAAACCTCCTTTGAATTGTCCAGCGGGGATGGCTGGGGAAAGGGAGGGCTGGAAGCTTGTTGGCTGGGACCGCAGAGTAGCGGCGAGATGTGAATTGGCAAACCAGGGACAAGTCCCAACGAACCGGTCTCTCGAAGTCTTCCATCGATATATAACTACTCCAAGATGTATCACGGTCAAATAGCTTACCCAACCACCACCTTCACCTCAGCCCAACACCTCAGTTGAAATCTGTCATGACAGAGCAAAAAAACAGTACTTAGTCTAGACATGTATAGACTCTAGACTCACTAGACCTACAAACATGACCTACAAACATTGCCACCATCTTCGCATGTGCGTAGACGTGTAACTCCAGCATCGCAATGGTTCTCCCCATGGTGCGGACAGCAATCGTGCAGCCCTTGGGCCCTTGCTTGCAAGAAATATCAGCTTGACATCACCTCCCTTTGGAACGAGGTTGCATTCATTTGTTGCGTGCCATGGGCAGATTGTTTGGAGGCTGACTGGCCAGGCACTTGGAGAACTGGAACATGTTGCAGAAAGAGAATCTTCTCAGAACGGAAGGATGCCAAGTTCTATCAATTTACAGGCTTGGAGCAAAACAGAGAGAAGAAGTTGAGCAGTGATTTATATAGTTTGATATATATAGATATATAATATATATACTGCATATATATATATACAGACATATATATGTTTTTTTTTAAAGGCTGTTTGTCATGCGAGATCTGCACACTTTGGTGGGTCCAAGGATCAGCTATTCCGATCAAGCTGACCTGCCCATGTCCAAAAAGTGGCGTGAGGAGATGCAGGTGCAGGTTTTCAAGTGTTGCATTGTGCCCTTTCACACATTTTCCTAAGAAGCCACACTCCCCCTACTGCCCACGACAAGTAGTTCCTCGGTGGATGAAGCTAACAGCTTAGTTGTCTTCAAAGGTTGGTGGACCGGCCTTTTTTTTGACTGTACCCCATCCTTTTACACCTCCTGTTGCTTCAGCTATCACAAGATCGCGCTTGCAGCTCAAACGGCTGGTTGGGGAGGCAAAGCTGGCCAGCATCGATACGGAAAAGCTCACACCAGAGCAGAAGAAGAAGTTTAAGGCCGGGTTTCTTATGGCTTCACTCACGTGCATACTAGTAGTGCATACAGACAGTAGTTCAAAGAACTTGCGTTCCCTCGGGTGGAGGCCTTGGTTGAATTTGTTGCTTTTGTTGATGTTCCTCGTCTCCAAACATCACTGAACTCTTCTCAGGCCTTGTGGCGACGGGTAGAAGGAACATCAGGATGACCTCAACCGATTACTGTATATAATGAGTGCAAGTGCGAATCAAAGGCATAGGTTCGAAGGCATAGGTTTGCCTACGGCATGCGATATGTCAGTATGATATCGAATTGTCCTGATCTCCGCTTGAGGAGATTCAGGGGCGCCCTTCTCTGCAGCAACTTTGGTGTGCTAGCTGCATCAGTTCCGGTGTTCAGTGTTCACATGTTGTTCACATAGAATTCCTGGAATAGTTTGTCAAATGATGTGTTTGGCATTGTTCGGCCCTTGTTCATTCAGTCGGCTAGTTAGGTTCCTGTGGGGGCTGTAGCTTTGGCGTTGTATCTATGGCATACAAAGCCTTGGCGGAAGACCCAGACACTGTCACGTCGGAGTTGAAGCAATTAGAAGCTTGTAAGCAGGAAAGTGCGTCTTTAATAAGTCCTCCTTTAAAAAAGGCCCTATATAACTTATAACTATTGCATATGACACATTGCAATGAGACCGCCCAGGTCGACTGGTGGCCCCGTCGCATCGCAAGGGAGCCTCGCCTGCTCGAACCTTCATGATTCCGTCGTTGTGTGGATGCGTTTGTTCGGGCTAAGGATCTCCAACTCGGAAGGCGAGGCGCCTTGTGTTGACATGTTATTTTTGTTTCCTTTCCTATCCTTTTGTGCGTTCCACACCTTCCAACCACTTGAAATGATTCGATTATTGTTGGAAATGGCTGATTGTGGTTGTTCTGCTTCTTCAGGTAAATTGTTTGGGACCCACCCCCGACAACACTCCCATGCCAGGTGCCAATGCAGCGCGGGCGGCAGAGCTTCGTGACTTGCGCATGCGACGGATGCTCAGCATTTGATAGATGACCTGGTTGACGAATCCACTATGCAGTCTTGGACAGGAAGGATAGCGAGGAATGACACGACTTTATGTGCAGTGGTCGTAATAACCTCGAAACTCTCCAACTCATCCTCACTGTGAGATCCAGACACCCTTTGAATCCCATAGTGACATAGTGTCGAGAACGCGAACCGTTCGCGTTGAGGCCGATTTGGCTCGGAGACATCAGCCAGAGCCAATGATTAGACCAAAAAGTGATTATGCACAAAAAAAATATTTTCCATTTGGAGAATTTCTATAAGCTATATATATCTATATACAGTATACATATTTAAATAGAGTAAAGATGCCGATAAATATGCAGAAAGATGTCAAGGCAATCAAGAAAAATTCAAAAGCTGTTGGAGCTGTCTCAAGACTTCACCCGGTGTGCAACCAGGAACTTCAACACTGCGCTCAAGCATAACGCACAAGAATCCTACGCCGTTCATATGAAACGATGTTGTTGAAGGCATAGGTATCAAAAAAAAAGAGCATCAAAAATAAAAATAAAAAACAGGATCAACAAAAAATAAAAAGCGAATCAAAAAAATAATATTCCTTGATAGGCCTCTTCTGCTGCTCTCCTGGCCTTGTGGTCTGCGGGTCCTCTGGTAATGTGGTCCCTTGGTCCACTGGTCCTTTGGTCCCCTGGTCCCTTGGTCCTTTAGTCCACTGGTCCCCTAGTCCTCCGGTCTCCTGGTCCTGTGGTCCGCTGGTCCCCTGGTATCCTAGTCCTTCTGTCTCCTGGTCCGCTGGTCTTTTGCTCTCCTACGGCGCTCGTCTGTCGATCTCCTGGTCCCCTGCTTGCGCAAATAGAGGCTTGATTGCTTTCTACTAGAGGCAGCTCCCTGGGAAGAAAGTAGGTACCCAACGATAAGGTTGCCGTCCAGTCATTGAGTAGCCCTACTCGAAAAATGGTTCACCAGTGGAAATAGCTCCCTACTAGGAGGGAGCTCCTGGGGAGGTACACTCTCCTGACTCCTCTACTACCCCAACCATCCTCAGTGGGCTAGAATATGTTTTTTTGATTATATACCTTTTTATTTTTTATTGATCCCCGTTGAATATTTTTTGATTCTATTTTTATTTTTATTTTGATCCCTTACCCGTTGTTGAATGAAATAAGGCAGGAAAGCCAGCTGATAGGAGCAATTAAGGGGGTGTGGGGGCAGAAGCTGAAGGCCAAATAACGTGGGCAAGAAAGGGTGTCAAAGAGTGTCAAACAATTTGATTTCTGATCGTTGTGATGTCTACAATGCATAGATGTGATAGCTTGCATCATTAGCATTTTGAGTATAATATGCGCTTGTAGGTAGGTGGATGGACGGACGGACCGACAGACGGAAGGGTGGATGGATGGATGGACGACACCTGGTTTGCAGACCTGGGGGCTCCATGTGTTAGAACAATGCAGTGCTCCAATCCAAAATCAGTCAAAATCAACTTCCGCACGCAGCCCGCACCACTGACTTTGTCTACCGAAGAGAACAACAGATGTGGTTGTCGATCTAAAGGTCCTAGACAGCGTTGTGTATGACGATGACCCGGAACATATGAAAATCTCATTTGGCGAAATGTTTTTCTCGAGTTGGCGAAAGTATTTTCTTTTTTTGGCGAAAGATCTGGCGAACGATTAAATATGTACTTTTGTATGAATGTTTATTTGCTTCCTGAACAGCTGGTGGCAGTGACTCACATGTGGAAGTTAGATCACCTGCTGCTGCTGCGGCTACCACTACCACTACCACTACCACTACCACTACCACTACTACTACTACTACTATTACTACTGCTATTGGGGGGGAGGCTTTGCCACAAAACTCTACCCCGCAAAAGGCAAAAGTTCAGCTCAAGATTGGCGAAAGTTCACCCTGCCACATCTGACCCCCAGCCCATTGTGAGTAAGTTTGAGTGATCGGCTACTACAGTGATTCTTGCGATTTTGATTCTTGCTGACACCCAGGAGAAACAAAAGAGACGTACAGGGTGTCAACAATTAAGTAGAAGACATATGCTGACAACCAGTGAAGTTTCTATTTTGTGTTTGCCAGTAAAGAAGAAGCCGTTGACGTGAACAAAACACAACATACATGGCACACATAAATACAACATACTTCGGCGAAAGATAAAACGCAGGAAGGCGAAAGTTTGGCTAAAGTAATTTTTTTTCGGCGAAAATGACGGATCCCGGATAACGGAATTTAGATCAACTCCCATGTATCTACAAGCACCGCTGAAGGTGTCAGTGGCTGAAGTGTTGCAATAATTTCAGTTGGGAGGCAAACATCGTCGCTGATGAAAATGTCACGGTTTACCACAGACGTGTGCATTTGGGTTGCCCGGGCAGTGGGACATAGTTTGGGGTTTGCGCTAGTGCCAGGAGCCTCATCAAGATTCTGCTGTGTGCGTCACAAAGTTTAATAAGAAAACAATGAAATAAGAAAGCAATGAAATATGTAATATGAATATATGTAGCAAAGCCAGATGGGGGCAGTTGCAAAACGGGATCATTCTTTTCCGCTCAGCTTCATGGCGGTACTATCACGGTTCAAGCTCAGATAGGCCAGCTTCACGCGGCAGTCAAGGTGGCCAGGGGTGCATGGCAAGAACAACTAGCCCACTGAGCAGCAAGGTGTTTTGACTTGACTCACTTTCACGCAAACCTATTGCTGCAAAGAACCAAGCCGATGGCTCCACTACATAGCTTTTTGATCCATTCCCTGCTTGATTTCTAGTGTGTTTTGCTCACAGACTAACTTCACGACATTCATGCTTGCGCCAGCATGGGAAACACATTCCGCAGCAACAAGACGAGGCTCCTACGCTCATGCGGCTGAAACAACACCTGCATAGAAATATGTGGACGAATCAGGGCATATCATAGCAGTTTTTTTGGGTCTAGCTGGTGGGCAAATCTGCGCAACCTGCTTGCTCAATACTGATGAGATCATTGGTTCAACAATCTCAACTGCAGCTCAGAATGAGGTGATGAGCTAGGCCTTGACATTGCACAAAAACACATGAGAGAGGAAAGCCAGCATGGTGCAACTGTAGGCAAATGGTGCATTAGTCGCAAGTGCTATTTTTGTAATCCATGCTTTGCAGGTCCCTGCTACGGTTGAATGTTCACAGGCAGCTGAAGGCCTACCACCAAGTACAGGCACCTGCTTGTTTTGTAGACAAGGTTTGGATGCACTGATGTCATTTGCAAATGTGATCAATAATTTCTTCAAAATCAAGTGTGGCCATTGTACTATGTTTGAGGAGCCTCTCATGAAACAAGGCAAGGCAGCTCCTCACGATCTCCAAAAAAGGGAGTTCCACCTCCAAGCTGTGTGGAGGATGCTCATCAGCGTGTGCACAATTGACATGATAGTTGTTACAAACACGCGTTTCATTCCAGATTTGTCTTACAAATCCTACCACAAAGTGCATATGCTAGTTGGTTGGCACCCAGGTTGTAAGGATTTTAGACACATAGGGAATTGCATACAGGCGATTGGGGCCTTTGCGACTGAAGATTGTCCCAGCAGCATAGTCAAAGTCAAAGTTCAAAAGAGCAGCCAAATTTTTGTGGTGAGAACTGCGGGAGGCATCGTGGACTTGTTGAATCTAGGCTTCGCCGCTGAAGCAAGGTTGAACGCCCAAAGTCTGCGGTTTCCGGTGTAGGACCACCAGCGTTCACCCCAATCACCATTGGTACCAGATCCACTTTGCCAACAAACTTCCATGAGAGGGATGATATCTGGCTTGATCTCCTTGTCCCGTAGCTGTCGCAGAGTTTCCAGGATGGGCCTCTGACAAAGGCATGTCAACAAGTGGAAGTTGGCTACGTGAGATCGGTTCAAGCACAAAACCTTCTTGGGAAGAACACCATCTTGCCAGTCCCAACTTCTCACGTCCTGTCTTGTCTGCTAGAAGATCAGCCAAACCATGCCAAACCCAGCCGAATTTAAGCAACACATTTTCGGGGTGCCTTCCGTCTTTGAACGTCTTCTTGATGGAGTCATGCGTGAAACCAATATCTTGGAGGGGCAAGAACTGACGCTGGCTGCTGCTTCCTGCACTCTTTGGCTCCATCCGGGAAAGACCACGCTGAATCTCATTAAGCAACAGGGCCTGGGTTGCACAAAAGCACCCTTGCAATGACTAACTGCTCAGCTGCTCGTTCAAGGTCAAGCTGTGTGGTGCATGGCACGCGCACGCAACTAGAGGACGTGTTCAAACACAGCCGCAAGTTTCATGTTCAAAACGTTGCCGCAAGTTTTGTCTGAAAATCTAACACACACGAGGATACACATGAACTATTCCTCTCGGGCTGGCACGTCGATCCTCTTGGAAAAGCCCCGGTCCTGCTGAGGCCACGACCACCAAACCGGTGTACCCTCATATCCCAAAACCTTGTGAGGTAGATTTCACTGGTCTCATCGGGCGCAAGTCCTGGGAGGTGGTGGCTCCTCACGATCACCTCCCATCAGCTCCCTGTAAGCCCGTCACCTGCTTTGTGATCTTTGTGTTTGATGATGGCAGCACTAAATCATGCAAGGGGTATGCAAGACATATCAGCTCTTGACATTGGATGTAAGCAATATTTGTGGCACAGGCTAGTGAGAACATACCAGGCTAGCAGCCAGATCCTTGAGATGGGATGGCTATGCCGCATCTTTCATATGTCCAGCTGCTCGGAGGGCAGGGCTCTTGCTTTTGAAGAGGCTTTTATGTCCGTATGTTCCTTGGCTGGATTTCTTAAAGACTTGCTTGCCCGTGGGACCAAAGATTGGATCCTTTGCTGGGTGTCCGCAAAGGGGAGAGGGGACTCCAGCGATTGCGTCAAAAAGGTTGCTGTGACTCATTTCACTTGCTCTCGCTGTTTCTCACCACTACCACTACCAATATAGTAGTAGTGGTGGTGGTAGTAGTAGTAGTCGTCGTAGTAGTAGTAGCAGTAGTAGTAGTGGTGGTGGTGGTGGTGGTAGTAGTAGTAGTAATAAAACGAAAAATTGAACTGGGTGTGGGCTTGGGTTAATTGGGGGGGATTCACCCTCTCTCCGCTTACCTACATGTCATTCAAGGATCTGCTGTCCACATTGACCTAGTGTTAGCCTTCAATGATGGCGCAGGAGCTCAGAAAGCATGCCTCATGGGATGGAATTTGGTTCAAATTGGATCCGCTATAGGCCACAATGAGGCAAGAAGCCCCTAGTGAAATCTTCACCGAACGTGA